AACCAGAAGGCTGGCAGTTCAAACCCACCAGCCATTCCTCGGAAGGAAGACTGGGTAATCTTCTTCCATAGTGATACTGCCTCCTCGGCAACCCAAGGAGGGGTCGCTATGAGTCGGGGCCAACTCATGGCACGTAACAACAACAACAATCCAAAACCCTTAAAACAAGGGACTCTTAATCTTCATCAGTGAACCCTCTAAAATGTAAGGAAATCAGTTTGTGTGACTATTTTCCTCTAGACAAAATTCATCAGTTTCTCAAAAGGACCCAATCAGCAAAAAGGCTAAAAGCCACTTTCTTAAAAAGTCTGTTTAAGTTACATAAGTCATATGTAATTCAAATTACACATGAATTACAATCATAAAATAGAGTATGCTACAATCTAAAGGGCACTGCCAGATATAAAAGTTTCGTGTTGTTTTATTTTTTAAGACTCAAACCAAAAAATCAAACTCACTGCCACTGAGTCGATTCCAACTCATACTGATCCCCCATTCAGTTTCCGAAGTGGTAAATTTTTATGGAACTAGATTGCCCAGTCTTCTTTCCATGGAGTGGCTGGTGGGTATGAAGCACCAACCTTCTGGTTAGCAGTCAAATGCCTTAGGCATTACACAACCAGAGAGCCTTTGGCCTTTGTTTTTTAAGAGGGGGCAGAAAATAAGATTCATTTATTTATTCTAGAACAAATGAAACCTAATAAATAATGCATATTGTTATATAACAAATAATGCATATTGCCATATATATATATATATACACATATATATATAGGAGGGGGAGCTCTGGTAGCATAGTGGCTAAGACACTTTCCTGCTAACCAGACGGCTGGCGGTTCAAACCCACCAGCCACTCCTCGGAAGGAAGGTTGGGCAATCCTACTTCCGTAGTGATACTGCCTCGGAAACCCAAGGAGGGGTCGCTATGAGTCGGGGCCGACTCGACGGCACATAACAACAACAACAACATATATATAGGAGCTCTGGTAGCATAGTGGCTAAAGCACTTGACTGCTAACCAGAAGGCTGGCGGTTCAAACCCACCAGCCACTCCTCGGAAGGAAGGTTGGGCAATCCTACTTCCGTAGTGATACTGCCTCGGAAACCCAAGGAGGGGTCGCTATGAGTCGGGGCCGACTCGACGGCACATAACAACAACAACAACAACATATATGTATGTATATATGTATACGTATTATATATATGAGCTTCATTAATGTAAATCAAAATGTTAAGTCTAATTAAGCAGCTCCTATTTTATTTTAAAGAAAACTTTGAGTATATAGCAAATATTTTCTAAATTATCAGTTTTGGGTTTTCTAAATATGGAGCACATCTATATTTCATTACCACAATCACATTATTGAGTGAATTTAAAGTATAAAAATTTAACTGTGAAACTCAAAGCTTTCTCTTACCATTAAAACTTTTATATTATGCACATCATGAGAGAAATACTGTTTCTGAGCTCTAGACTCAGTGCTATCATGCTTTTATATAAATAATGCAATAGTTCCAAGGAGGTTATATACCAAAGCAACCACTCTTAAGTTATGATCACTAACAAGAGTTATCTGAAAGGACAGTTCCTTTTAAATGAATGGGGTAAACTTGTTAAAAGTCATCAATTGCTGACTTAATCAACAATTTATTCATCCAGCAACACGATAAAAAACAAGGGTATAGGGGGTTCTCCTCAGCATTCTAAGTCATCTATTTTGTATTTGTGCATGACTGATGATCCCTAGAGTAAAAATTTCAAGTAGCAAAGAAATTCAGAGGGTCAGACAATGAGATCAAGAAACTGGAAAGTAAAAAAAAAAGTGAACTTGCTCTATAAACCTTCACCCAAATCACAATTTAAAAAAAAAAAGAAACTGCAAAGTAGTAAAGTGAAAAATTATTTTAAAATTTTTACCTATCATATATTCATACCCTCAAAACTAAGAATTTACATGGATTAGAAATATTAAAAAAAAAAAAAACAGGCTGAATCAAAAATAATTTTCTGAAATACAGATCTTACACATCTCACTGCAACAGATTTATGGTTAAAACAAACTGGAACTAACTATTTGATGGTGAAAAATATCAATTAGAAACCTACTATGTAAAAGTTAGGAGGAGCTCTGGTAGCATAGTACCTAAGGCACTTGACTGCTAACCAGAAGGCTGGCGGTTCAAACCCACCAGCCACTCCTCAGAAGGCAGGTTGGGCAATCTACTTCTGTAGGGATACCGCCTCGGAAACCCAAGGAGGGGGTCACTATGAGTCGGGTCCGACTCAATGGCACATAACAACAACGTGTAAAAGTTAAAGGAGTTGCATTATGAAAAATTTAGAGAACGACTGGCAGTCCCACTACCTTCAGAAACTATTATGTAAAATACAGAAAAAAGTTTAAATTAAAACGAATTATACTAAATGTTCAAGGATTAATATCTGATAAAGGAGAAGAACACGGGCAGGGAAAGCTCTATGCCAACTTTTAACTGCATGCAAACTGTGGTGGAACACACTAAAAGCCTTGTTTTAAAAAGAAGCAGTGAAATAAAAAACAATGGTTTTAAACCTATCACCCGTGATAATTGCTCATGACCATAAGTCTGCCTTTTTTCCAATGCAGGAGTAATGGTATAAAAGGCTATATAACAAGGAAAAGGATAAAAGAAAATGCAATTACACTTCTGACACAAGACTAAACCAAAAACTTGTTCAAGAATTTTTTAAAGAATATTTTTATGTCAGAATTAAAGGTACTAAAAACTCAAAGATTAAAAAATCTATCACATACATGAAACTGAAGATTAAATCATTCTTTTAAACAAGTCTGAAATTGAAAAGCATTTACTTTAATCAATGTATGCTCCCACAAATCCTCTCATACTACCTATTTCAAATTGAAAGAGTTCACCATACTCTTTATAACCCATTTTTTTTTTTAACTACACTGGAATGATATTATTCTAAACAGTACTCATTTACCTTATGGCGTACTGCCTAAGGCATTTGATTGCTAAACAGAAGGCTGGCGGTTCAAATCCACCTGCCACTCCTCAGAAGGCAGACTGGGCAATCTACTTCCATAGAGATACTGCCTCAGAAACCCAAGGAGGGGTTACTATGAGTGGAATCAACCAGATGGCAGTGAATTTTGTTTTGTTTTTTTAATTGTCCTATATAATGAGACTTTTTAGGAAATTACTTTATTCCACAAAAGTCATCCAGTAGATTTTGCTAAATAAGGTATCACATAAATTCCATCTTGTGCAAGTAATTTTTCCATTATCTATAAATGAAAAATTTGTATTTATATGTGACACCATAGTAGAGATTGAGGCCTAAATACAGACACAACAATGTCTTCTCCAAATATTACTAATAACTTATATGCTTACTTAGTGATTTTAAATATCTACATCTGAAAAGCATTGTATATGTTCACCACAAAAGATGAAGCACACAGTTGGTAAGGTTACCGCTCTTATACAGTATCATAAAAATGTGATTTTATTAAGTTATTCAATGACTACTACCACAGGCATGAATCTTAACACTGTCACATCAATCCCTCAAATTTTCTACAAAGCTGACCCAATTTCAGGCCTGAAACTGAGACTTATACCTTTAAAAAAACAAGAGTTAAGTAACTGGGTAGTCCTAAAAATACACATCATAACTACATGACTAAGATACTCACTTAAAACTTGTGCCAAGACAGCCCCTCCCTTCAAAACAAACTAAAATTGGCTCACCGATCTCTTTTACTTAATTCTGGAAATAAAAATAAAAATTAAATGGATTCCTAAGCACTCATGCACTCATTTTCTCTGTCTCTGATCCTATCATTTAAAATATTCAAATCTTCAATCTGTGATCCGGCTCTCAAAACACTAAAATAAAAACAAAGAACAAACTAACTCAGTATCTCCAAGTGATCTACATTGGAGTTTAAAAACATGTGTGTGTACACATATACATAAACATATATATATATATATATATAAATAGAGAGAGAGCTAGATTCAAGAATGACAATAACCACGATTCTAAATCATGGAAAACAATAGAACAATGTCTATGGTTGCTGTCAAAGGAGCCATACCACCCATTGAACCACCTCACTTCAGATACTTTTCAACCATGAGACCACCCCATTTGCTAGAGTTAAGTACCCGAGCAAAAGGTTTCAATTTGGCCCTAAAGTGAGGAACTATCAATCTCCCTCCAGGACATGTTCCACCTTCTGTGAATATTTCTACATGTGGAAAAAAAACCCAGTAAAGTTAGTGCAGGATAAGGACAAAGGGCATTTTGAAACACCACTGAAGTAAATAAAAACTGAGGGCAGAAAGAAGGCGAAATTAAAAGTTGACTTAAGTGTACAATGGCAAAAAAAAAAAATGCTGGCACTATTTTTTTTTTTTTTAACCATCCTAGAGCCCTATTCCCCATTACCACTCACTGCAATGCAAAGTTGGAACTACCACTCCTTAAAAACTCCTCAAAAGGTCAGGTCACTAGGCAGGCTCTGGGATGACAGGCTAGTACCCCTTCCCCACCTCTAACCCTACCCCCACCCCCAAGAAAAGTCCAATAAGTGCAGGTCACCCTGCCCTCTGGGGCAGTTCCAGCCTGCGCAGGGATGGGTCGGTGGGAGGACGGAAGGGGAAAGACAAACTACCTTTCTTCCCACACACCCTCAGCTGAAGAAACAAAACAAAGAGAGCCCTCCTTCCTCAAGAGGCACTACCCTCGTCAGAGGAGAGGCTTTTCCATTTCCCAGCACAAGCTGGCCTCCCCTTCGCCCTCGCCCCCATGACAAAGAAAAGGCACTTGGTGAGCAAGGCCTTCCAGCCTCTACGGATGGGGGAGGGGGCTGCCGAGGTGAGGAGCCCCCTCCACTCACCCGCGCTCCCACTCCTGCCCCGAAAACAACCAAGAGCAGCGGGGAGCAGAGGGCTCGGCTGGGGAAGCCAGGACCCGAAAGGGGGGGTACCTTGAAGTAGCCGCCTTCGTAGAGGGTGTTAGGGGGTCCGAAGATGGCCACCTCCCAGTTGTAGAGGTCGGATTCATCTACCAGGGTGATCCGGAAGCCTTCCACCGGTTCCTCCTGCAGGGATTTCAGCTCGAGCATCAGGGCCTTCTGCGAGCTGGTCATCTGCTGCTGGGCCATCGCGGCGGCGCCGGGGCCCCAGTCCTCACGCACCGGCCGGGCCAACCAGGCCCCTCCCCTCCGCTCGCTCTCGGGCCGGGCCGCACCGGGCCCCTGTCTTCACCCACCGGGCGGACCGGAGCAGGCCCCAGACTGCCCGTGGGCCGCTCCGAGTCCTCCTCACACACGACGCGGGCCGGACCGGGCCCTTCTCTTCACACTCGGGCCGGGTGGGGGAAGGGGTTGAGGGAATTAGGGGG